TCTGCAAAATCCAGCTCCTTATGCCCCTATCCAGACCAAATAAATCCCTGACCACATCCTCTGCTACTCTGGCATTTCATATGGTTTTTATCACTCTGTACATTTCTGTGCTTTTAGGTCCGAAGGGTAAAATGGGGCTGACTCACCTGTCTGTACCTGGCACAAGACCAGGCATGGCTGGCATCACAATACGTGTAGAAAGGGAACTGTTTGCAGAATGAAGAAGCCTGTAAGAGGATGTTTCCCTGAGCTACTCCACCTAGAGCCCCACCAGACCAAAAGGCCCAGCACAGAGCTCTGCACAAAGACAGTGCCTGGACTGGGCTGATCCTGAGCGGTCATCTCCAGCTGCAGGAGTTCTGGGAGGTTGGTGGCCTTTGCCTGGGGGCTCCTGTTACCCCAGGTTTCTCACAGAGTCAGAGTCAGATCCTGACCCAGCTGCAGAAGGGTAGGAGGCCCTCTGTGCCATGGCCACCCAGCCTGGCCCTATTGTCTTCTACCATTAGCCCAGTGGCCTCCTCAGGCCTTCCTCAGCCTCATTCCAATTTTCTCTTTTCCCTGCACCACTATGCTCTTCCCATGCCAACATGTCCCAAACCACTCCCAACAATTTCCCCCACGCCCTCATTCCCACCTGGGTACCTTAGAATAATGGCTGACATTCACTGAGCATACCCTGCCCCCCCCAACACACACAGTTTTAAGCATTCTACACATCACCCCCAACAAGGCAGGACTGCCACCACCGCAGAGAGAGATGGAAACAGAGGGCGGGGGGACCAGCCTGAACAGGGGCCGCCATGCACCTCCACAGCTGAGCCCTGTGGGGCCGGCCCACCCCCAGCTGCCTCTCTGGCCAGCGGCTCCGCCCACCACCCGCATGCGCACTTCCTCACTTGGGCTGGTGGTTCCGGAGCTCCTTCAACTTGTCCCGGTCGTCGACCTCACCCTCCTTCGCCGCCTCCTTCTCCACATCCTCGTGCCTGGGCAGCGCCTTGTGCCGGCCCGGTGCCGCCGCGCGGGCTCCTCCCCGCTCCCGGCCTCCCTGGGGCCGGCCCGGGGGCCGCCGCGGTGGCGAGCTCGCCGCTCGCCCTAGGCCCCAGCCGCGCCGCCTTCCTTGCCCTGGTCGAGTGCGTGCCGGTGGGCACGGTGGCGCCGCGGTTCCCGCTTGGCCGCCTCCTCTGGGGAGCCGCGCCGGTGGTGGCGCCGGCCGCCCTCGGAGCCCGGGCCGCGGCCCCGCTCGCTTCGGGTCTCCTTGCTGCGGCTGCGGTGCAGCCTCGTCCGCTCTTCCCAGGCCCCGGGCTCCTCGCCCTCGGCCTTCGGCGCGTCCACCCTGTCCTGCTCCCCCGCTGCTGCCAGGGCTGGGGCCGCAGCCTTGTCGCGGTGCCGGTGGTGCCTGCGCGGCGGGTCCGCGCCCTGGGCAGCCTCCGGGCCCTCGGGCCGGGCCTTGCCTCCCGCGGGGACCCGCAGCCCATCGCGCCCTAGCTCCACCACGAGCTGCCGGTCCAGGTGCGTCTTCATGTCAGGCCGCAGGTGGGGCGTGGTGGCGCAGCGCAGCCTCTCCTCGGGGTCCATCTCGCTGTACAGCGCCTCGCAGCTGGCCCTCAGGTTCTGCAGCCGCAGCTGGCCGACGCGCTGCTCCCACACCGAGCGCGCCTTGGCCGAGTTCTGCGGCCTGCTGTGGGGAGACCGGCGGTGAGCGGCTGCCCCCTGCGCCGCCCTCCGACTCCTCTACCTCACAGG